ACCTCCATAGGTCCCGCGTTTACGACCACATCCTCTCGGTGAAAAATAACTTTCTGCTTCTTTGTGTAACTTTGTGTTTTAAGTTTCCTAGCATTCAACATTCTTTTATGATATCATTTATACCTGTATTCCTGAATAAGAAATTTCAAAATCAAGCTGTGCCTTGCTAATTGTCTGGTGCACGTGCACTTTAAAAGTACAAACAGAAGGGTTCTTGTGGCCAATCAGCACTCCCAGATCCACAGTTTCAAAACATTCATTTACAGAAATCAGGTTTTAAGTTTTACAAAATTAATAGAATTGCTACCTTCGTATTGGTCTCTCAGTGCTGCCTACGACCACACGCCCAACATTAGTACATATCATAGTCCTTAATGTCAACTTCACTGAAAGTTTTAAGCTTCTAACTTTGGATATGGCAACACTTTTGCTTCATAATCATTCTAAGAATATCTTGGTATGGAAGTAAAATTTTTCTTCTTTGAAAGCCTTTGAATATTTTGTACAGATAGAAACGAAGCAGGTTTAAGTTTTGTCGACACGTCGCACAAGTGTTTTAGAGGGAGTATACAAAGTTTGACTTTAATCTGTCTTTTCCCATTCGTCTGACAGACGAAGTAGCGAGGAGGAATTAGGGCAATGCACTTATGGTTCGATTTTGCCATCTTTGGTTCACATGAAGCGTTCAAGACAACATCAACACGTCGTTCAACTTCTTTATACTATAGACTTAATCGATAGTAGGCGTTTCAGTAGCTTCTATCTAATTTCGAGGATTCAGAAGCGGGCATTAGTACAAAGATCGAAGACACTCCGCGCTCTTTGTTTGTCGAAGAAAACGCAGTGAATCATTTGAACTGATGTGAAACATATGAAGAAGGCCTATGAGTCGATTTTAGTGATGGACTGAAATGGTAACACCACAAACTGTGGATTCCGTTACTCTCATTATTTGGTCAACATGCAGTGTGAGAGAGAGAGAGAGAGAGAGAGAGAATGGTGATGAAAACTGTCGGTCGATGTTAATAAGCACAGAACAAACCCCACATATCTTCAAATGACGCTGTATTGCTTTTTTTTTTTTTTTTTTTTTTTTTTTTTTTTTTTTAGATTTTTCATCTTAGGCTCGTGGATGATGGATCCGAGAATTGATTAAAGCCAGACAGCAATTAATAGAGGACGGCAATATGCCCCTGTCGTCCGTCACAACGTGTACTTGTACATACGTCATGAACAACAGGCGTGTGTGAGCGCATGTATTACAGCCGTTTTACAGCTCATTATAAGGGGTGTGAAATTGATTATCTTTTAACGAAACTTGTGTTATTGAAGAATGATTCCTTCGCTTAAAATCACTGCTATTTCAGATGATGTGTTTGGGGCGAATGGAAGTGACAGTGGTGAAGTTGGTGGCGAAGGGGACGGTGCGGTTAGTTACAAAGCAACTTTCTTTGGCCATGATCTTTCTAGACCCCATAAGCCTCTTGGACACATTATCACTTTTTTATCTGTTAAAAGCAGCATCCTTTACCTCTAATACTTTTTCAAATGTTTCTGGTTTTCATCGCACAAAGCTATAGCCGTTCACGGCATCACTCCATTTCCCTTGATTTCGTATTGAAGACTACCTTACGAAACAACTGTCGTCCAATTTGACATCTATACAACCACAATCCATGGTTCTTACCAAATCACAAAGGGAGACGTGATTCCAGTCCTATGACACACACAAGGATAATAAATCGATAAACAATGTAAATCTGATTATTATCGAAACACCCGGAAAACATATTCTTTACATCGACCCCTCGGTGAAAGAAGAGACACGTGCTAAAGTTGTTAAAGTTCGCACTTATTAAACCGTATTCATAAAGTGAAAGACGATTAAACAGTGTCATTATCCAGCAAGCACACGAACTATGGAGTAATTGCTTCTGTCCTCTCTGGTACAAATGTGGCTGAATGAAAAGATTCTGGATCAGATTGGGTCTGACTTAATAAACTTGTACATGTATGCGATTGAGTAACCATCAAATTAATGTCAACTCTCTCTTATCTCTCTCTTCTCTCTCTCTCTCTCTCTCACACACACACACACACACACACACACACACACACACAAACACACACATCCCTATCTGGTATGCCTGTATATGTACTTTCTGTTTAAGTTCTCATATACAGAGTAATAATCTTTTAAATTCAAATTATTTCACTTTATTACGTGCTACGTGGCGATACTTCGGGACATCTCGAAAGATTTCATAGGCATCCCCACATACATTTCTGCAAGAATGTAAATTATGGTAATACATTCTTGATTTCTGCTAAACACAGCGACCAGTGTTAAAAAACATCTTTTGCTGCCTTTACAAATAGGTTTTACATGCAGAAAGGACATTTAGCCTATACGATGGCTAATCTTAGCTGTCGTAATTAAGTTTATTGTGAACTACTGCATCAAGTCACAGTTTATCTTATCTAATGCTTGTTAAATTCTATGCTTACAATGCACGATGGCTTGGTTCACAGTCCTTCGTGTACGGAATACGTTATCAGTTTAACCAATAAAGTAGATAGGAATCTAGTTCCTTGGTTAACCATATTTTCCCAGTACCGGAAGTGAATTCCGAGTTATTTCAAACAGACAAATTAACGCAACTCTTCACGAAGTTAATTATGTATTAATTCATTGATATCCAATAGCATCCCGAGTCATGATTTGAACCTACCGTACTCAACCTTGACCTACGCCACGTTCATGTACCTTCTTGATTTGTGCGTTTTCGAATATTTCAGCTGTCACATTTACATTCTACATCATTTGGTTTATTGGAATTATGAGGCAAGACAGTCACAGTGAAGAAAGGAAGGCCCTATCGGTCCCTACCTTTTGCAAGCCCATCTGGATCACCTGTTGCCAGGGATTCCTTGCTCCCCCGCCAGCGCCGGTAACACCTCCCGTTATCATGTTCTGTTGAAAGAAATGCTCTTAACGGCCCATTTTTTCTGCCTTGTCCACACTTTCCAACAGTATTCAAGAAGACTTCTCTCACGAAACAAAGAGACTGAATTTAGCTAACTGGTGATCAAACGAGTCCCTGTTTGAAGAGAAGTATTCCAGGGGGAACGCGCGCGATCGAACGGGCGATTAAACAAAACGGGAGAAGCTACAGCTGCGGCCGTCGTGAGAATGCCAATACCAAACCAGGACTTGGATGTCGCCAGTACCCCGTATGAAGACAACATCGACTAATTTAATGATTAGTAGATTAAAAAAAGCTCCTGGGACACAACCTTGCAAGAATGTTGTACACATCTTGTTAATCAACGGACTAATAGACGCATTTCATCCCGTAATGAGATCACACAGCGGCATGATCGAGGGCACGGCCGTGACTTGTGTGGCAGAATGCGTTCCGATAGCCCTGCGAGACAGAAAAGGGACAGAGGAAGACCCTTCTCGAAATCATGCACATCATGCAATTCATGAACAGAGGGTCGTGACGTTATTATATAAGTCAAACTACAAATGTTTTGCTTAAACATAGAGTTGTGTATACCATACAGAGCAGCACAGGCAAGCAGCCTAGATATGATCTGCGTTGACGAAAGTTATTACACAAATTGACTTGAGGCATCGCCAAAGTGGCAGTTAACGTATGGATACATCATATCATTCTTGAAATTCTGGGAAAATTGCTGTTCCAGAAGTCAAAATAAGATTACGCGAAGTTTACAAAGAAACCAAGATAGCCAAACTGGCAAATATGTGCTATTTATCAACTGCTTAATTAAGGATTAATGAAAGATTAATGTATTAATTAACTAATGCATTTACCAATTAACTAATTGATTAATCTATAAAGCCACTGTCTGTGTTATATATTGGTTTTTGATCAATAAATAAATTAATTAACAATAAATTAATCTAGTACTTAAATTATTCAAAGTACAGAAAAGTTGCCAAGGCATCAAGTAACTCTCTACTGATGAGTATAACTTAAGGTCGTCCGCCGTGAAAATTAGAAGAAATGTTCAGGTGAAATAGAAAAAGGCATAAGTATATACTTGATATTGTTTGGTTGAGATATTTTTCGCATTTGAATGTTTGACTACTCAGTGCCTCGCTAATTTCAGTTAAATCAGCGTTTCTTAAAACGCAAGCTTCGGACGGAGGATATATATATATATATATGCATATAGTATACCAATTCAATTAACTCAGATTACTTCAGATAAAACAATTACCTTAAGGATAAAACATAGTCAGATCTATTCCTCGGCTAAACGTGCGAGCATGTGAGCTAGTGCTCGTGCGTAAGTATGTGTATGGATATGTAGAAAATTGTGTTTTGTCCTTAATTGGTAAAGGGATCCACTACACTCCCTATAGGACCATCGTTGCCGAACGTAATATAAGCAAACGAAGCACGTGCAGTGTGGCGTTTACCGATATCAATTGGTTGTGAAGACGGGATTGTTTCCTCTTATCTCACCTAACACAACTCTAGACTCCCACACCAACAACAGTGGGGATTTCGATGCAGTCCGCACATACTTAATTATGTTTGTCTCTCTAGAAGTTAAAAAGTACACAACATATTTGCTGCACCAAAGTGAACTGAAGAGCAGTCGATTTACGTGATATCAATAAGAGAAGCTGACTGCCCAACAACAACGCATGCATAACCGCTATCGTTTCATCTAGATTAACTCCTAGTAACGCACGATCAATATATGCTTAATTTCCTTTGGTTTTAATCACAACAGATGGATAATTGAAGTAATTTGTTCCCAGGTTGCATGCGACTGGACTAAAGATAGCGATATTCATATAAATAAAGCTCTATAACTAATGAAAGAGTGTACAGAATTACTTGGACTGAGATGCCAGTGTCTGTATGGACAGAAGAGAGCTCTGTAGAGCTTCAGAACCGACATTAAACGGCTTCCTCACTTTCACATTTCCCTACACGTGTCGTGATCAGTGTGTACGCATGGTAGATTGGGAAGGTAAGAGCTGAAACATAATGGACCAAAACACTGGGTACTTCAATTCAAAGCGCTTGAACCATCTTTTCAAGACGCAGTTTCACCTTTGCAAGAAAGATATGTCTGCAAATGAAGCAAACAGGTTATACAGTAGCTGCATAACTGTAAGGCACTAATCATACCCATCCTCTCAAAACGATAAAAACATTCCATCGATCTTGACGTGCTTATCTTTTAATCCGAATCTATGAGAACGTGCTACTGTCAGCTCAGGCATCACCTCACACCATTTTATTACTATTGCCTGTTAACTCGTGTTTCCAGAAGCATTTTTTAGAAACTACATTTTGCGCACAGTTTCATAGTCAGTGGATGCCCGGGTAAATATTCCCATAATGCTTATAAAGGTGTTTCTTTGAATCGCTATTTATGCACTGGTAATCGTGGTTTTTAACAATTCTCCCACTTCTATATATATGTATACATATGTGTATGGAAGAACATTGCAGTCCTTGAAAACTACGAGGGCAGTGTTAATTTTGAGATAAACAAAGCAAATTTTATGACACATTGTATGATCTAAACCCAAATTACGGAAAAGGTAAATGGGAATTCCCTAAAATGTTGTCAACGTTGAAACCTGCATTGGTTGTCTGGTTTCATAATGTCAACTTAAACTGCTCGATACCTGGATGAATTGGTTTCCCAGAGAAATGATTTTGATTCAGATCTTGACATCCGACTCGTATTGCCTATAAAACCAAAGTGTGGTTTGTGAGCTTACGGAGTATTATCAGGAGGCTACTTGACTGATGATTTGCACAAAATTTAATAATGTGACACCAAGGTTGACACGGCCCAATATAAGCAGTAATTGAACGTTATTACATGGATAATAATCCTCAGCTAATAATAAATATAAGCCCTTTTAATGTAGGCTTCTTTTGACATATGTAGGAGGGGAGAAGCAGTATCCGTCATTGCCAGCACAGACTGCAATGATTTAGACCAGTGGCAAACAAATCTCTGTATTGGCTGAATGGATCTTGGTAATGGCTGTAATTTGCATCCATCACAACATATGGATGGAGCATATGACGAGCTATAACATACGTTACTTACTAATTGATGGACGTTTGTGTCACGTCCCAGTGATGGGCTCTATATTAACAATGAAGAGATTAAATCCATCTATTTCTCGTTACCAGATTTATGTTCTCTTGCCAAGATCAATATTCCTGCAGAGAGAGAATGGTTTTAATGCAAAAATAGATCAGGAACCTTTTGTTTAAGTGTTATAAGACCACTGCTTGATGTACTCAGTACACGAGTGTGTTATATCATGCATACTGTGACGTGTAATATGGCATGCTGTAACACGCGTGTTAACGTGTTTATTCACGTGGTTTGGTTTTCTATTTCTAGGTGCTACCAGAGATATCGGATCTGCTCTCACAAGACTATGTCTACGCCACAAAAGTATAGAGAACAAACTCAAGTCCTTCACAAGGTATGTTTGTAGGTGTTTGATAAAGGTGTCTGAAGATGATACACCTGTAACAGTTTGTATCCCTGATTGTCCAACATGCACACACACACACTGGAACTTAAGACATACCAGAAAACAGAGGCACTCTCAGGATACAGATAAAGTTCTAATATTTTTTGTCAGTTCGTTTTCATATCCTAATGTTTGCTCTTTCTTTTAACATCTTTGCACTGATATTTGCCCATGTTTCACTTAGTAGGACAAGACATTCACAATATGTCCCAGAGACTTAGTTCAAAGAGTGAAAAAAATGAGATGAGCAGTCTTCTAGAAACTGAAAATCTAATTACTTGGGTGAAATTCTTAGCAGATTTCATGAAGTTGGAATTTTTTACACAGTCATTTTGTGAAACAAGCCTCCGTAAAATCAGCCCTACATGCACTCAAACAAGCACACACACGCGCACATCTACGTATCGTAGTGTGTCACTGTATTGATCCCAGGTATTTGGGTGCAGTCTCACAAAGTTGCCATGCACGTTCGTGAAATTGATCAGAAGCAGATCTGGAGCAGTCTAATCAATGAGGCAGTTCAACCCCAGACTGTATTGATTCCCTGTGGAGTTAACCTCTCCTCCTTCCCTCCTTCCTTCCTTCTCCAGATATCTTGTAGAACGAGGTCTGGATTTACAGTTCTGCGTGTAATTTTTACTAATCTAACTCACTAAGGACCCTACAATTCCACTAGCATATAGATGAAGTGTTTATGATTATAACTATATGATTGCATAAGCTGTTATAGCAGTTTGTTGTAAAATAAACAGAACTTCTGAGTGTTATTTTTCAATCATGACCACCCCCATCGTGCCCCTTAAACATGTTTCGTGCTGGGATGCATGGCTGCACATGCACACAAAAAACACACACACACACACACACACATATTAAGTTTTCCAAGTGATATTATGATAGTTTATCATAACATGTATGTTATTTCTTTCGTCTTCCCCTGTAGTTGTCTGATGGACGGAATGGTGACACCTTTACAAGAGAAGATGGAAGACTGGAAGAAGACAGTGGCACACCTGGATAAAGAACATGCTAAAGGTAGGTCTTGATTTGACATCTTATTTATTTATGTAAATTATCTGGCCTTATTAATATGTACACCAATCACCTATATTAATGAATGATTTAATAGATTTAAAAGAATGCAAGAAATGTGAATGCATCCAGAAGTCTCTTTATCTGCAACAACTCATACCCAAAAGACATTTTCCAGAAGCAAATTCTCTCTGACCTTCAGAATCAATGGTCTACAGGTACATATCCTATCATGATATGTGTAACAAATAGCCTCTAGGGAAATCAACTGAAGCCTCTCTCTCCATATTGTTGAACTCAATAAACTGATGGACAAGACTTATTACAAACACTATGGCAGATTTTAGACCAACAACCAACATTAGGGCTCATTCCAAGATTTAAAAGAAAAAAATTTTAAGCCAAATCACTTTGGACTAAATCAGTGGCAAATTTGGAGAAGATAGTTGAAATTTTTCATTTCTTTTATTTCGTTCTAAAGGTCTCCTCTGTCAGTTGAATTATCACCAGTCAGAGAACACGGAATATTTATTTATTTATATCTATTTTAGTATGTTAATAGATAATGCACCTGCCAATATTCCTGTGATGAGGACATAGGCTCATCATAGCCATAAATAAAGCATTGTTAGACGTCATAAGTCCAGAAATAGATAGATGTAAAGAATTTGTATGAGGATAGTTTTAGTAAGTGCTAAAGCTGGCTTTATGTAGGCTTAACATTGATTGGGATTTTCATCCAGAAAGGGTATTCACCCAGAAATAAGGGTTATTTGTGGTCCATCATATGAACTCGTTCACACTGTTTAATGGGGATTTTCAGGGTTAATTTCCTTATATAGGTGTCAGTTAAGAAGTCTTTTAAGGAGAAGTGGGTTATTATTGTGCTGGTTGATAATTAACAAAAAAAGCCCCAAGATTAACTGGTCTTTGCTGGTGTAGATGTGAAATGTATTTTTAACATGCATGCACGCACACCTTCACATGCACACTGTGATATTTTTAACTATCAGCTATAAGTACATGCTTTAATGTAAAAAAATTAGCCTCTACTGTGAACGGAGATCAAATGAGATTAAAAATATCCTGTATGGGGACTGGGGGGGGGGGGGGAACCA